AGTCACCATCCCTAGAGGTACTTAAAAGATGTGTAGATGAGGTGTTTAGGAACATGGTTTAGTGGGCATGGTGGTGTTGGGTTAATGGTTGGATTTGAAGATCTTAGAGGTCTTTTCCAACCTTAATGATTCTATGATTCTATGATTCTAAATAATAAATGATTTTACATAAATAAGTACATTCTGTATTGCTAGTCCTTAATAATCGTGTATCCGAAGTTCAAAGACCTCATGGAATTCACTTAAACATAATGGCATTTAAAAATACAAACTTGGGATTGTCTGCATTTACCTTTGGGTTTTGAGTTACGTTTGGTTTAAATAGATGTAGAACACATTTTCAAACTCCTTTCCGTTACTATGGCAGCTAAAATTCGTTTAAAATGGTATAAGGCTTAATGAAATATTCTTAATTCCTTGCTGGAAGGATCTGGAAAATTAAGAAACAATACAATCACGACTGGCAATAATTTGGCAACTCTTTGATGTAACAGTACCAACGTGAATAATACACAAAGATCGGAAGTTCCATGAAAATCAGTGTCTGGATAAGAGAACAGGATCCTTCTCAGGGAAAGGTCACAGCAGAACCTTAGTAATTTCTAGTTCTCTTAGGCTTCTGACTGGTCTACGTATGGATATATTGGCTAGTCAATCAGCACATACCATTCACCAACACGAATGTGTTGCCTCTTGCCCTTTCGTTCTAAGAGGAAGCAGAGTGTATTAGGAAGAGACTCTGAAAGGAAAGGTCTATGAAAGAAAGTTTATAAGGTATATTGCAGATGGCGGTGGGCCTAAGTGTTGTGAATGGAGGAGTAGATAACAGATGCGTGGTATGAGGAGAAGTAGGGCTCTTATGGTGAGGAGCACAAAAAAGATACTGAAAAAATTGTTTCACTTCTCTTTTTGCAGGAATGTGAAATCAAGGAGGAAGGCAAAAAGCACTTCCTTACACTGTACAATGTACGCTTAGATCAAGCTGGTGGAGTAGATTTCCAAGCAGCAAATGCCAAATCTGGTGCTCACCTTCGAGTGAAACGTAAGTGTCTTTTAAACTGAAATTAATTAAGTGAAAACAAGGTACTCATCGCCTCTTTGGAAGAGGTGAACAAATCTCTATACTATATTGAACTTACAGCGATTCTTTCCAGAACAGCAACTCAAGGATTAGTTACTCAAGCCATCATAATTTTTTTAGTTAAGGAATGTCCTGTATGTTTTTTAACCTCGTATATAGTTTATTCATATAGGAGAAGTAAAAATAAGGAGATGGCCTTGAAGGCTGCTTCATGGTCCGGCATCATATGTTGTTATGAAATCAAAGTATTACAAGCAAAGGTTTTACTGTATTAAAGTATCATGTTAACCTGGGAGGATGGGATCACATTGATATCTGGGGATAGGGTTAAGAGCTTGATGGACAGGGACAGACCACACAGTTGAAGACCACTTGTTTCCCACTCCAATCCTAGCCCTCGCTATTTTGGAAAACACATGCCTTATCTAGCAAGAGGCATGCAAGGCTTGGCAGGGAGACAGATGCACGGCCACTTTCCTGGT